CGTTGCTATAATGACACGTTAATGACTGGAGACTAGCTTGTAAACAATCGGAATTCTGCTACATTAAAAACTTTAGTGGTTATCAACGACTACAACAATCCATGAATGTCCTGAGAAATTACGGAATTCCACTTTAGTTAATTTTTCTTGCGTTGAACACTTTACTGTATGTCGCCATAGGAAGAATTTTTCACAAAGGTTGACAATGACCGTTCGAGCAAAAAAAAAAAAAAAAACCGGTTTCCACTCTACGATAAGAGCGACTTCTTTGATCCGGAAAAATTTCTAGTCATTTACTAATACTAAACTGGGACGTAACGAGAACTGAGTATTCCCACTTCCGCAAAATCCGTTCTTCTCCCAACTCAAAAAATTCCCTCCATCCGTCCAATAAACGTCAAATTCAGAACGTGAAAAAAACACGAATTCTTGCTTTCTTTAAAATCGCGCTTCTGTTATGAATGCCACAATCTGGTCCAAAACAATGTAAACTAGAAAATTATTAGACCTACTTTTGGAATTACTAGTGTCAAAAACACTTGAACGTAAATGCTGGTCAAGCATCTTCTGCGCTTAAGCAACCGTAAAACTGAACACATATTTAATACTTTTTGAGTTACAAATCGTGCAGAAGAAACGACAGGAAAGTTTTATTTAAAAAACAAAGAATATTTCAAAGAAAATGCTAAGTTTGCTGAAAAAAAGGAAGAACAGTTTGAGAAAGAAAGATGCTAAGCGGTTTTACTTTTCATTCGCTTTGAAATTACGTTAAAAAACATTCCTATATACAAACAGAATTCGGAAACCGCAATTTAAACACAGAATACTGTAAAGCAAGAAAAAGAATATCACAATCAGTAAAAAAAGTCATCTATTGTTAAGTGATGACTTGGCAAATTGTAGTCATAAAACCAGAGTTGTGTGGAAGAAGTTTTTGAAACAACTACAAATTGAACTCCATATAATCCCATAAAAACAGCAAAAAAATAATGCAATCCACGCTTCTATTAGAAGACTATTTTCGTAACATAATACACTATCGCTAACAGGAAGCCATATAGGGCTTTAAAGAACGCAAAATCACAACACAAAAGTACGTGGAACTGCCATACCCGAACAATCTTGAACAATTCTCTGTAAGAATGATTACAGCAGACCTAAGGTAGAAGGATGTAACAATGGCGCTGTGTCTTCAAATAGTAGAATTCATAAATGTGGCGAATCGTTCAAACTGTATGTATCAGAGAATCAGCAACTGAAAAGTTCCCCTCAAACGTAAGCAAAATACAACTGCTGCGTTTCTTAAATAGAGACTAATTTTTGAAAGTTTCAAATCAAAAGTATCGCTTGTATCAAAATATAAGCCAAGGCAGCAAAAACTCACAGTCAGCACTAATTAAATAGTCTAAAATAAGCCCAACAAATGATTTTGTACTTTTCGACTGTATATTACCAGACTGAAAATACCTGAAATACGATAAGTTCATAGAACAAATAATAGTGACCCAACAAGCACATAATGACGAAAATTTACTGCATACCATCCCATATGAAAATGACATTGGGGACAAACGCAAGCTGTCCATTCATGCTTGGGAAACCATGTTTCAGCAGAATAAGGCTAAAAACCGGATTGAAACCTTCAGTTTTCAAAAAGCATTTGGATATTTATAAAAAAGAAAAATGAAAGAGTGCAAAATACCTTGCCAACCAAGGCTAAATCGGCTGTGTCTGCCGTTATGACGTTAAACTGCCTCGCTGCAATCAGGATAACAATGTTTCAAATATGTATTTCAGAGATTCAAAAAAAAAAAAAAAA